AATTAGTTGAAATTCCTGATGGGGTCAAACCAGTAGGCTGTAAATGGGTCTACAAGACTAAGCGTGATTCCAAAGGGAAAATTGAGAAATTTAAGGCTATGCTCGTAGCAAAAGGTTTTACACAATTAGAAGGGGTTGATTACAATGAGACTTTTTTCCCTGTCTCAAAGAAAGAATCGTTCAGAATCGTCATGGCGCTTGTAGCTCATTATGATTTAGAGTTACATCAGATGGATGTTAAGACTGCGTTCCTAAATGACGACTTACATAAGACGATTTTCATGGCACAACTAGAGGGTTTTGTTGGAAAGGCAAGGAGCACATGGGGTGCAGATTAAAGAAAGCTATTTATGGACTTAAGCAAGCGTCATGACAATGGTACCTGAAATTTGATGTAGTGATTAAGAAATTCGGGTTCATCGAAAATCAGAAAGATAATTGTATCTACATTAAGACAAAAGGTGGACGATTCATTATCCGAGTACTCTATGCTGATGACATCCTATTAGCGAGTAACGATAAGAATACGTTATATGATACAAAGAATTTCTTGTCATCTAATTTTGACATGAAAGATCTTGGTGAAGCCTCTTATGTTCTTGCCATTGAAATACGCTGAGATAGGACCAAAAGAGTATTAGGATTATCACAGAAAACATATATTGAGAAAATGCTTGCAATGTACAATATGGATAAGTGTTCTGCCACACCTGTACTGTTTGCTAAGGGTGATAAATTTGGTGATTGCCAACGTCCTAAGAATAACTTAGAATTAGATAAGATGAGAGATAAGCCAAATGCTTCTGCTGTCGGAAGCCTTATGTATACACAAGTTTGTACGCGTCTAGACTTGGCATATGTAACCGGGATGCTCGGCAGATATCAGAAAAATCTAGGCTTGGTCCACTGGAAGGCTGCAAAGAAAGATTTATGTTATTGTCAAGGCACCAAAGATTTAATGCTCACATATCGGAGGTCAGACACTCTTGAAATTGTGGCTTATTCAGATGCCGATCAAGGAGGGTGTGTGGATAATAGGAGGTCCACAACCGGCTATATTTTCACCCTTGCTGGAGGAGCAATTTCCTAGAAAAGTTGTAAGCAAAGTACAGCAACATCATCGACGATGCAAGCAGAAGTTATTGCTTGTTATGAGGCAACAAGCTAGGCTGTTTGGCTTAAGAATTTTGTCCCGGGCCTAAGAGTTGTAGACAGCATTTCAAAACCAATTACTATGTTCTGCGTAATAAGGCATAATAAGGCTACGGTACTATTTTCTGGTAACAACAAACCAACTGATGGGTCAAAGCATTTAGACCTAAAGTACTATGTTGTGAAGGATAGAACCCAGGATCAGACAGTTAAAGTTGAGCACATAAGTACTAAGTTGATGCTCGCGGATCCGCTTACGAAAGGCTTACCACATAACCTATTTAAACATCATGCACTAAGTATGGGTTTAGTTTTGAGCCTCTGAGACTGGGTAATAGGGCCATGTACTCCCAATAAGTAATAAGCGTTCAAACAAGGTATTGCAGTGAACTATGGGTAATGGGGTCCCAGTGGCGATTAATGCTGCTGATGACGCATTGGTCTGGTCCTGCTGTAGTACTGAGTGTGAACATAAGTGTAAGGCGAACATTAGTTGCATAAGTGCATTAGCCGTTCGATCAAGTGGGAGAATGTTGGAATATGATCTCAGCTAATCCCAAGATTAATTACGAGGTTAATTAGTTGCTAAGTATTTGGTCCTGGACCTGGACCTGGACCAGGGAGTTTGATGGTATTGAGACCACCAGCATCGGGCAGGGCATGGTGGACCAGCTCCAGCCAGTCACCGTGACCTCCATGACCACCACAACGATGGCCACTCCAGCTTCAAGAACGACCTCACCCACGCTAGTGCCTTCATCAGCATCGCATGACATCAGGCCACAGACACCGACCACCCCAATACAAGATGTAGTGGGAGTGGTGGAATTTGAGTCACCCCCTGATGGCGAAGAGGCAGAGCAGGACACCGATGATGATGATGATGCGCCGATCCGCTTGCACAGGATGGACAATGTGCTAGGCCCTTCGTCACCACCTAGCCTAGCACACCAAGAGTTTGGAGAGTATCTGCTCCTGGCCAGCGACGTCAAGCTGTCCACCCTCACCGCGGCACAAAGGCATGAGTGCTCGCACCATGCACCTTGACAAAATGACCTCAATTGAAGCCAACGCCACCTGGGAGCTTGTCGACCCCCTCCCCCACCACACATTTGACCCATTGGGCTCAAATGGGTGTACAATACAAAGAAAGATGCAACCAGGATCATCTCCAAGCACAAAGCCCGGTTGGTAGCCAAAGGATACATGTAGTGATAGGGCATCGACTTCGACGAAGTCTTTGCACCGGTGGCGCAACTAGAGTCGGTGCGACTCCTGCTGGCACACGCCACGTGTGAGGGATGAATCGTGCATCACATGGATGTCAAATCAGCCTTCCTCAATGGTGAGCTATGGGAGGAGGTCTATGTCGAGCAGCCATCTGGCTTTATGCTGAACCGACAAGAAGGGAAGGTGTTGTGTCTCATCAAGGCGCTCTATGAGCTTTGGCAAGCTCCACACACCTCGTATGCTAAGCTTGATGGTTCTCTGATCAGACTCCGAGCATGCCGTGTATCTCCGCGGATAGGGCGCATGCTGCCTTGTCGTGGGTGTATACGTTGATGACTTGGTGATCTCCAGCGGCAACATCGACGACATCGGCGAGTTCAAGAGGGAGATGAAGGCCATGTTCCAGATGAGTGATCTCGGGCTGATGCACTACTACCTCGGCTTCGAGGTGACGCAGTCAGGGGATGGGATCACCCTTGGCCAAAGTGCGTACGTAGCCAAAATCCTACATAATGTCAGGATGGCGGGCTGTAATGCCAGCTACATTCCAATGGAGCCACGCCTCAAGCTGAGCAAGGAAAGTACAACTCCTACAGTCGACGTGACCACATATAGGAGCATCGTCAGCTCACTCCGGTTCTTGGTGAATGCCAGGCCAGACCTGGCATACTTGGTGGGGTACATCGGCCACTTCATGGAGAAGCCCACTACCAAGCATCTCATGGCAGGCAAGAGGGTTCTTAGATACATCTCAGGGACCTAGACTTTGTCTATCACAGTATGGAGGGAAGAAGGACGCATGGCTCGTCGGCTTCAGCGATAGCGACCTCGCCGGCAACATCGACACTCGCAAGAGCACTGCCGACGTCATCTTCTTCCTCAGCAACAATGTCCTCACCTGGCAGTCCCAAAAGCAAAAAGTCATCACTGTGTCTTCATGTGAAGCAGAGTACATCATCAGAACGACTGCAGCTTTCCAGGGTGTACGGTATGATTGGCGCTCCTCCTTGCGGAGCTCAAGTGCGAGAAGGAAGGCGCTGTTCAACTCAACATCGATAACAAGTCCGCCATACAGCTCAGAAAGAACCTTGTCTTCCATGACCACAGTAAGCACATAGTTCGTGAATGCGTCGAAGAAGGGTGAGTGTTGCCTTCAATGGCACCACTGAACAACTGGCGGACATCATGACGAAGGCTCTGGGATGGGAGCGCTTCTGTGAACTACGTTCCAAGCTAGGCCTCATTGATATCAAGCTGCTGCGCAAGGTTTAGGGGGAGAATTGTTGACTAAACCTTGTGCCAATTAGTTAAGATTGTGTTTATCTTTCGATTGTTTTGCATGCGCACGAGTGCTGACAAGGGCGGAGCTAAGGGGTGCTGGCAAGGGTCATGGCCCCCCCTAACAACACAACATACTTTTTACACCGGGTGGCTCTCTAACGTCTTGTCCCTCGTTGTCGTCGTCTCAGGCGGGGGTGCCTCTCCGACGAAGCGCGGCGTCATGGGCGGCATCGCCAACGGGTTGGACAGAGGTAGCGCCATGGATACATGGAAGAATAGGGTAGTTATTGTGGGGTCCATAGTATTGGGGGAGATACAACTCCCCCTTTAGGGAAGAAGAGGTGTTTTTTGGGTGACCACCAAGAAACAGGGGGCTATTGGGGATCCGCTGGAGCAACAAAACAAGCCCATCTCCTGCAATATGACAGATTTATGGGGACGAGGGATGGTATTGGGAACTGCAAGAGATGCTCTAAGAGCAACCCCAGCAGGGACCCTACTTGAGCCCCGTAGCTAAATATAGGTGCCTATGCCAAAAACACAGCTCCAGCTGGGCTTCTACTAGAGCGCCTAAATTTGGATGGGCACCCAAATCTCTCTTCGGCACCCATTCCTAGGGGCTCTAGGCCAAGCCCCCAAATCCGTTGGCGTTCTGTTTCATTCACGCGCCTCCCTTCTCCCCTACGTGCTTGCCCCTTCCCCCGCTTGCGCCGCCGTTCTTCACCGCACGCCCGATGCCCAGCGAGGACTAGGCCCGCACCCCGTGCCCCGACGACGGCGAGGATGAGGTCCGCGCCCGACACCTCGGCGCTGGCAAGCTCGAGCGGCTGCTCTTCCTCCGTCGCGCGGGTGTTCTGCCTTTCGCCGCGCTGGTGCGCGGGGGCGGACCCTCCGTTGGCCGGGATTCTCTGCCCCGTCTCCCCCTCCTTCCCCCGCGCCGGCATTCTAGATCCCTGTACAGAAGAAGAAAGAAGTAAGAGAAAATGACCGAGTGGGTCTGTCATTCCCTAGGATTTGCGGGCCCAAATTTAGGTACTGCAGTTGAAATAGAAGAAGAAAAAAATTGAGCCAACAAAAGTAGGGAGAGCACCAAATCAAAAATAGCAGCCCTGATTTGGGTGCCCCTGCTACAGTTGCTCTAAAGAATCACGCTGGCCATTAGATAGCGTATCGAATAACTAAAGAAACTTTGCTCTGCGACAACCCGACAATTAATGGATCGGAAGACAAAGGTTACACAAGTAACAAACTTGCTATCATGTACAATAGCTGTTCATTATTGCTTCATCTGCTTCCCAAGGAGGCTGAACTGAAAAATTATCAGCGCCTCCAGCTTTTCAGCACAGAGACACCTCCTTGCATGACAGAACCCCTACCGAGGCGGTGATCGCCGGGACAAAAGAGGACGGTTTGGCAAAGCCAGGGGCCTTAACTTCAGGTCCAGGAGTACCAGATGATGTGAAGAATGCGCCGTTGAGCATCGTATCATCTTCAGATATCCAGGTCCATTTACTCCACTCACTCTCTGGTGCTGCCTCACGCTTGGTCACCTGAAGAACATTTTTACAGTTCAGACTAGCTTGCTTCTGATCATCTGAAAAAAAAAACATGCAGCTCCTGGTTTGCTTTCTAAAGATTGTGCTGCGAGCCTGCAACATTCTCATTTTGAATAGAAAATCGGAATAATTTTTTGTTGAACAACCCTGTTCGCTAATGCTGAAATTTGACTTATGCTGATGCTTATGCTGAAATGTTGTGAAAGAAAAACATTGTTCCATGGCTAAAAAGTAGTCTGAATAAGCTCAAGCGAACAGGGGCGTTCTTCAGAAACACAGCTTTGCAAGAAAACAAAAATAACAGAAGTTGCTGGCAGGAACAGACGATAAAACACAAACCTCTTTGGCCTTGTCGGCAAGGAATCGATTGCCATGGCTCAGAATTGTTGGCGAAGCACTGCCACCAATGGCATATATTTCCCAGTTTATGTAGTCGTTGTTGATGACATGAAAGAGTCCAAACCGGCATCTATATATATCAAGTACAGACAGTACATACAATCATTTCTTCATGATCAAATTACTTAAACAAAATAAAATGCATGGCTTCTTGATGATGCATGCACCTTGGCATTCTCTGGATAAGACCTGGTCCGAAGCGGTTAAACGCAACAGTGACCTTCATGTTCTTGTCATCAGTGAAATCGTCGCTGTGCCCAAGCAGCATCGTCTTGTTATGGTTCCTGAGAACGTTGTTGGACAGGGTCACGTTCGTGGAGCCGTCCGTGACGTCGATGAGGCCGTCGGCGCAGGCCTCGAGCGTGCAGTGATCCACCCACACGTTGGTGGCGCGGAACACGGTGATGCCGTCACCCTCCGACTCCGCCGACGGCGACAACGGAGGTGCAGGCTTGCAGCCGCGTATGGTGAGCCCGTGGATGATGACGTTACTCACGTTGCGCAGCACGAAGCAGGCGCCGCCGTCGCCGACCACCACGCCAGCCCCGCGGCCGTCGACGGTCTTGTATGAGGCGACGAGCAGGTCCTGCTTAGGCCTGATGGTCATGTCGCGCGCGAACGTGATCCACAGCGGCTCCTGCTGGATGACGCCGTAGCGGAGCGTGCCCGGCGCCGGGTTCGCCGGGTCGGCGTCGTCGCTCGGGTCGGTCACCACGTAGGTCTTGCCGTTCTTGCCGCCGATGGCGGCGCGGCCGAAGCCGACCACGCAGTCCGCGAGGCGCTGCCGGTTGTCGGCCCAGCTGGGGTCGCAGCGCCAGCAGTCGTCCACTGGATTGCCGCTGCCGCATTCGCCTACCATCCGCCGTCGGTGCAGCGACGGCATGTTCACGCTTCTTCTGTATTGTCAAGGAGACACGATCAAAGGATTAAGGCTCCACTATATTCTGTATTTTGATCGTGTTAAACTTTAAGCAAAAGAATGAAAGATAAAAAAGAACTAGTAAGTACGCAATAAACTAAAATGTCAGAACGTATGTGTGCAGCATTGCCTGAATCTGATTTAGTTACCTGACTACATCTTGAACGACCTGTTCAGGGTCTTGCCCAGATGCCGTCGCGGCGTCGATTGGCAATGGAGAAGCGATGGGCAGGTGCAAAAAGGATGTGAAACATAACATGAGAAACGCCATTGTTGTTGATGACACAATAAGAAGTCCTCGAGTTGAAGACATGAATTGCAGCAGTTGTTCATCTGTGAACTTTATATATATAGATAGATAGATAGTGAAGAAGAAGGCCACCATCAGTATTTTTTTTTTTTTTGTTCATAACTAACTGGGACAGAATGTATTTATTAAGGGTATAACTATTTACTCGAATTACCTGATTCGCTTTTGATTAAGGTTTCTATATCCACGAACTATTAATACATGGCGTTTCTTACAGCGAAACTGTACTAAACTGTTGCCAATTTGGCTGTAAGAAATGTCAAGCTCAATAATACTGACCAGACATAGTAGATAGATATTAAGCGAGGACGATTAGGCATGAGATCCATAATTCCAAAGATGGTTTGTCCTGCCACCAAAAAAAGGTATGCCATAATGGGAAATTTGAAGATAACGTAAGAATTATTTGGTACAAATATTAACGGTTAATATTTTAAAAATTAGAAAAAGAATGATGTGAAATGGGTATCTTGACTATGGAACAATACAATTATTGAGTTGCACGTACCGGTCCATTCAATCCAAAAACTTAAACTGATAGAAAGAGGTGAACAATTCACTTATGTGAAAGCTTCTTCAAGCCTTAGAAACGAAATAGGAGCGAGAAATAATTAGTTTTATTTAATTGTGATGGTCAAGATTTGAATTCGAGACCTTTGGCTTCGATACATCATTGAATTCTGATACAGAATCAATAACAATACGCTTCCCATTGATCGGAGGTGATTACATATACATCACAGGAGTCACAAAGTAGGCAACAAACAAAAGATTTGATACTAGCAAACTAGGTGGTTTATTGTCGTAGGAGGCCGACCATGTTGGGGCTCAAGCCGATGCACCTACACAGGGACAGCACACCGTGCCGGACCGGTAATAGTGTCGAACAGAGCCATGCTCTTTCAATAATAATAGCATAATATCATCTTATGGCCTATTTATCATGCGGCTCCACTTCCCGAATAGAAAATTCCGTTCTATGCTTAACAGGCTAAGTTACTACTAATATCCATGAATTGTTTAGGTAACTTTAATAATAGTAGAGACGGGTAATTTAGATTTAAATACTCAGGGTTATTTATTATAGGTAAGTTAGTTTTTTCTACGACAAAAGTGTATATAGAAGTATGTTTTGGATTCTTTTATAATGATATATGTTAGGTAATATAATTTAGGTTCAGGAATCTTATTTGTAATAATAGTGGAGGTAGTGGAGGTGCATAATTTAGATACATAGTTAGGGAGATACTTTATATTATTTTCCATAATGACATATGTGAGTAGTTTAGAGGTTACTTTTGGTTATTTATCTTATTTGGAAATAAAATACTTTCATAAAGTATAACTTATTATTCTGAAAATAATATATACTTTTACATAGTACTTGTCATCAACTCATGATCCTACATGAGCAAGAAATTACAAGGATACAAGTATTCAAAGTCTATGGATAAATTTGAGACCCGCATAATTGATTAAATTACTTATCTTGGCTTCCCCTCTTAAACCTTTGATTAGTTTAAGAAATATTCTAGTACTTATGTCTCTTATAAAATTGGTAGCCCATGCATCACCACGGTTGACGGATTAGTAAATGGGTAATACTAGTTGCTGGAGAAGGCCAAACAGGCCCAATGTATATATTTACAGGGCTATATTATGGTATATATAAGTGGGTATAATTTAGAAGCAAGAAGATCTTTGCCTTTTCTATGGACATTTCTAGGTTTTCTCAAGTTCTTTAGCGTGCCTTGTTGAAATTTGTGCAAAGACGATAGGATTAGTCGAAGCTAATATAATGCGCAGACATTCGGGATTAGAGAAGGCACTCTCTATAACATCACTGTTGGTACCCCTCTCTGGGTGGGGCCCACCATTTCTGTTACATACTGTCACAATCTGGGCTTTATATATATAGATCGACACGCTGAGGCAATCGAGCAGGTTCAGTGACTACCATCAAACGCAATCTTGCTTGGACGTCGGAGGCCTTCATCGGTCAAAGCAAATTTTGGAGTAGGGCTAATTACTTCCTACTCCGTTCATTTGCAAATGTGCAACGTTTTGGACAACAAAAACGATCTCCTATATGCAAATTTTACTACTACCTAATGTATTTATTAAGACGATAACTAATAAAGCGTATAAAATAAAACTGTTAGCAAGGCTGATGTGATGCACCGCTCCAAAAAGTCAGTAGCTATGTCAAGCAAGCCCGGCACTCACCTTTCTGAGATTTGCACAACAAAAGGAACCTAATAAATCCACAAAAGAAAAAAGAATGCCATTGAGCAGAACAGACAACCATTTGTTATGTCGCCAATGGGCTATCAACATCTCACAGTAACAAATGCAAGCCTTGCTGCTAAGAATTACAAGCATCATTTGCTGTTTCCTGTACTGTACATGCTGTGCCGCAGTCAACATTGGACTCCCTCAGTATTGCTCTTGCAGTGAGCAAAAAGAATAGCACTAAATATTTTATACCAAAAATGAGCAGCAAGGAACTGCACTTTTGCAGTGCCAAGGTGCATATGGAAAAAATCATCAAACCGTAATGAACAGTGTGAAATAATCTATATTACGTCTTGGTAAAAAAAAATCATAACTCATAGGTTTCACACTGCTGTCCTTCGGACATAGTAGACACTGTTATGGCTACATTGTCAGTTTGTGCAGAAAGCATTTCATCCTATTCTCCTTTTGGTATTTGAGCACTGCCTCAACAGGGGTGTGTTTGAGTCAACATAGAAACTGCAGGCCAGGAGCAATTCTGTTTATTTTCATGACAACCTCACCATTTAAGCAAACCCATGAAATCTGTGGTTCAAATGCCCAAAAATGAGTGTTTGGTGCATTTCATGTCCTATTAATTAGTGAATATTTGCATTCGGTCATGAACTTCTGTTATGCCAGGTGGAGCCAGCCAGGGGCCCACGCGGCACTGTGCGTGTGAACAGTACCAGGTCAGATTAGATTAGATTGGTTTGTTAGGAATGATTGGTTTGGTTTGTTAAGAAAGAGATAAATTAGATTGATTCGGTTAGGATATTACTTAGGGGTCAAATAAGTTGTCTCTGTAAAAGAGACCATCATGTATCAGTTAGAGTCAAGGAAAAAGCAACAATTAAGTTACTGGCTTCCCTGGGAGCCAGCCGTCCCTGCCCCCTCTCCCTCGTGTGAACAGTACCCCTGGGTACTGTAGCCCTCCCTCAGCTCTCTCCCTCTCAATCCTAGCAACCACATAACAACTTCTCTCCATTAGTCATGCACCTCTGCCAGTAGCTCTTATAAGTTATAATCATGCAGCCCCAAGTCAAGCCAAGGTTTCATCACACCATTATACTGCAGAGTAGCAGACTTTTCTATATTGACATAACTGATTCCAAAATCATGTCCAAGGCCTGATTGAACCCATGAATCTTCCAAAGGATATACTAGAACTTGAAAGGCAAGTAAACTTGCAGCGAGTGCTTGTGGTCGCTGTGATTTCAGGCTGTTATTTCGCAACTGCAAAAAAACGAAGTTAATAGATCACATGGCAGCTGCCTTTTAGACATAAGATAAGGAAATTATAGCAAAAGGATAGGATTAGGGGATACTACATGGAAACCACAGATTTTCATGAGACAGCAATTGATAATTCAATGTGAATGGTGAGTTCTACTGACCTTTTGGAGCGATTAATCATACAAACTGGTAATGCCGGTGTCCCTCCATTTATCCAATTCAATGACATTAAGGCCAGACAACCACACACATGAATTAGCATTGACATTATGGTCTGCTATGGTTTCAACTGCCCTAATCTCACTTCACCAGAACTGGACAGCGCCGATCACTTTACTACCCATATCAAGGTTCCGCAAAGATGACAAATCTTTCTTCACAATCAAATCATCGTCCAGAACAACTACTCTGTTCAAGGTAGGAAGGTCAGGCAAGAGGAAACTTGAATGACCGAAAATAGATATGTACTCAGTTTTCATCTGCCTCTGGGAAGGTTCAGAATGATTAAGAATTGTGACACAAAATTCCTCTGCAGGCCACAATTGTTGCATCTCAAGGGAATCTACATCCTTAGAGAGCCTCTGGTTGTCCTCGATGTAAGTTACACAAACAGTTGCCTCCAAGTATGAATATTCTACTGTCAATCTCATGTTCAAGCAATGGTGAGTTTCGGCATAGTCTGGACCCCAAGATGATATAGAAATGCACTCTGCCTTGTATGGAAATAAGCTCCATCTTCAGTTATATCAAGTAGCTGCCTAAGTTTCCGTTCAACATTCGAGCATCCCACTTCACAAGACTCGGCTCGCTCAATTGTGTGCTTCATCTTATCCAGCTTCTCTGCAAAACTGAAAAGAGTAACCAGTTATTGCCACCAGAAATGTTTTGAGAATAGAATTAAAAAAAAAAGACATTGCAGTGCATTATTTTATCACAATTAAGTCACAAGCATCATAATTGTGTATGCTCATCCTTTATTGCTTGAAGAAATGCAGACACAGAACTAAGACAAGAAACAAAGCCATGTTAATGGATTGCACTAGCCACATATAATTCATTTATTTAGTGCAAAAGGTTATATGAAAAATAAAGAAACACGTATGATTTTAAAGCTAAGGCGAGACTAACAATGGTGGAAGATCAGCATCTGTGATTGTGTCACTCAGCATGCGTTCATGCTCTTGGATGTTTTGCTTCAGTTCACGTGTAAATCTTTCCTGTTGCTTCAATTTTGCAACAATAGGATAATGAGCTCTTGCCATAAAAAGTTGATCTTTAAGCCTCTTGACAATGGCATCCTTCATTACTTCCCTATGTTCAATAGACCAGAGGCAGTGATTTCCATATTCATGTTCACAGGACTTGGTATTCTCCTCATGCACTGTCTCTTGACCATAGTTCTCTTTCCCATTAACAGTCGTATCCTGTCACAGAACAAATTAAGTTTCCTATGGTAGAACAGTCGTATCCTGCAACAGTCGTTTCCTATCAGTTAGACATAACAACAACAACAACAACAACGTAAAGAAAGGCATTGTTGTTGTTGTTGTTGTTGTTGTTGTTGTTATGTCTAACTGATAAATATTGTAAAACATTATATGCAACACTAATTTCACCACTAAGGAATACTTTATCAATACGTCCTTAAATGTCTGAGTGGTACTATGACCTCCTTGTACATCTCCCGGGACCTAAAAAGCTCAGAGTCAATTAAAAAATTCTTCACTAACTTCTTTACCATGGAATCATGGGTAAATCTTATAGAAGGTGGAAAAAACACAAAGTATGTTTAAGGGAACACAATTGCACATTGCATTGCACCACAACATGCATTGTTACCTGATTTAAAGTATTTACTACTTAGAAAGAAAACCATCTTACTAGCAGATGTGAATGTGCAAAATGTAGCCTATCAACTTTATTTGTAAAATCTCACTGGAAGTTCAACCCATAGAAGCAACGCACAAGATTATTACTGATGCCAAACTGAGGAACACCAATGTTCCTATCATCACATTTGTGCTTACTGTATATATTCATGAAAATTATTGACTGTGAAGCCCCAGTGATTAAATGGTCACGTCAATAGAAGCGCAACAAACTGAGCTCACCATTTTGGGCACCACAAGCCCTTGAGGCTACTCAACTAATTTTTCAAATATGAAAAATGAAGAGCTGCAGACTGCCGAATCCTAAAATGTAGGAAAAATAAGAGGTCACAGTTACCTTTGATCTCCAGGACAAGTCCTTCAATTGATACCTTTTGGGAGTACGAGGTCCTAAAACACGACTGACTACAGTTCAATGGATGATAGCAATGTCTCACTGTTTGTACTCTCCTAATGCTTAACTTTACTTTTGAAGGTGTCATTGTTTAGTCCAATTAAAGAGAAAGCACCCTTAAGCTTTGCTTTTGATTTGATAGATCCTTATTACACTTTGATCTATAGATCTCTCAGCCGAAATCCCATTAGATCCAGACACCTTGTTGGAAACATCCTGGATACACAATCAGAAAAGAGAGGAGGTTAGTCAAGATTGAAAAGAAACCATCAGAAATTTCAGTACAGCAGGCTCCTGATGATGGTTTTAGCCTTTTAGGTGAGCCAGGTAACGTCAATGTGACAAAGTGATCCATCTAGATCTAGATAGATAGTTGTGCACAGTTTGCAGACTTGAGCAAAGTTTCATCACCAGCATTGGCCACACTGCACCACAACCAAATGATCTATTTTGATATCACTACCTAATACTGAAACAATATATTGTGCGAAACACTGTTAACTCACAGGATATGTAAGAGTATGTGGTGTCCACTCTTTAAATTCAGTTATGGATTGACACAAAGGTGGCTACAGAAAATAGATAACAAGGCAAACCAAATTGTCTCAAAAAAAAAGAAGGTACAGCAAGAGGGCATCTCGCCAGCAACAGCAATTTTGTGTACATTTCATCAGAGGCATGGCATGTCAACTTGTCAAGGCATGATGAAAGAAACAATTTTGGGTTGCCACCTACTCCAAGAATAGCAAACTGAGGCATGGCATGTCAAGGCATGATGAGAGAAACAATTTTGGGTTGCCACCTCCGCCCACTCCAAGAATAGCGACTTGAGGATGGAGACGGAGAAGCGTCACAGCACACACACAGCAGCAGATGTCCGCACAACACGCGCTCGCGCAAGGCACATGAACGCACTAAATCAGCAGAGGCGAGTAGCTTAATTTCTCTCCGAAAGCAGCCAGCAAGAAAGGATTCAACTTGATTGCTGTCTTTCTCTGGCATATACTGTATAAAACACAAACAAAAATGCGCCATACTGCCGCACAATTACGGTTTCTGCCAATACTAGCTAGAGCATGGAATGTGAACACATAAGCAGTGTAGCAGGCAGGGATTGTAACCTTGAGCAGCTTGTGCTTCATGGCGCCCCCATTCTCCAGATGTTGCTTGCCACGTGCCCCAAGGCCGGCCAGCTCCTAGTAAGTAAAGCAACCCCAAGCACAAGGCAGGATTCAGGATTGTAATGCGAGAGGAATATGTAATTAATTCAACAACAACAACAACAACAAAGCCTTTTAGTCCCAAGCAAGTTGGGGTAGGCTAGAGTTGAAACCCAACATGAGCCCCTACTTGCAATAAATTTCTGCATGGGGAGAGTGCCGAAATGTTGATACTATATCAAAAGAAAAGAAAAACTGACCCTTTATACCTTGTAAACCGCAAGCTCAGGTTTCACAACCAGAACCAGAAGCAGTATCATCTTCTGTGCAAGAGTTTAAAACACTTTCCATTTCATTCTGAAGACTTAACGCTTCCTCCATGTTCCCCAATTTCTGGTATTTTCTTATCAGACAGTTGTAAACCGTCTTATCAGGAGTAATGCCAGTCCCAATCATTTCTGAAAGAACTCCTCTAGCTTCTTGCATCATATTCATATTACAGAAGCCCCAGATAAAACAAGTGTAACAATAGAGATCAAGTTGCAAACCACTTTCAATCATCTTGGCCTTGAGTGCAAATGCATCCTGGAGATTTCCCTGCTTCATGTACCCATCAATAAGAGATGTGTACACAACTTTGTCAAGAGACATACCCTTGTCAACCATTTCATTCATCAAGTGCACAGCCTTATTCAAGGAACCAATCTTGCAAAAACCATCAATTAAGGCGGTGTAAGCTTGTACATTTGGATCCAGGCCTAACTCTCTCATTTTATTAAAATGGGAGATGGCCTCGGAGATTGATCCTGCTTTACACAATCCATCAATTAATGCACAATAAGTAACAACATTAGGTTGGAACCCAGAATCCAGAATCTTGTGGAGTAAGGCAACGGCCTCTGACTCTTTTCCTGCTTTAAATAAGGCATCCATTATTGCCGTATAAATGACAGTATTAGGTCTCAAACCACAGCCATCCATTTTATGTAACAGACTCTTAGCTTCATCCACCTTTTGATCTTTACAGAGACCCCAAATGAGGGTGCCATAGAGAGAGACATCCAGTTCCATTCCTTTATTCTTCATCTCATTCAACAAATCCAGAGCCCTCTCACTGTTCTTATTCATGAAATGCCCATGGATCAGTGTAGTGTAGAGTAACTCGTTGGCTTTAACACCAGCTCTCTCCATCAGACTGAAAACATCATCTGCTTCAGCAACCTTACCCTCTTTGCAAAGGCCATCGACCATAACAGTGTACGTCACCACATTTGGCACCAACCCCTGATGCACCATTTCATCAAGCAATACAATGGCGTCATCTATCCTCCCTGCCTTGCAAGTGCCATCGACCAATGAAGTATAAGTGAACTCATTTGGCATCATCCCCCTCACCCTCATCTGTGCAAACAGCTTCATTGCCTCCCGGACCAACCCTTCTTTGCAAAATGCATCGACAAAAGTGCTAAATGTAACCACATTTGCCATCACTCCATGCCTCTTCATCTCCCCAAAGTAGCTGTACGCCTTCTCCATCCTCCCGCATTTGGAAAAGCAATTGATCAATGCATTGTACGTCACAACATCAGCTGCACATCCAGACTTCCTCATCTCTGACACCAACCGCTCCACCTCCTCCAGCTCCCCGCACTTGCCGTACCCGTCAATCAAAGAATTGTAAGTGACCACGTCCGGCGAGCAGCCCATCGCCTTCATCCTCATGAACAGTGCCCTCGCTTCCACAAGCTCTCCCTCCTTGCACAGAAAATCAATCACGATATTGAACGTGAACACGTTGGGCGCGGGCAGCTGGTCGAAGAGCCGCCTGACGAGACCGCCTTGGCGGTTGCGGGCTAGGCGCAGGAGAATGTGGTTGCAGGTACGGGTGTTCGGGGGCACCCGCAGCTGCCGCACGCGGACAAGGGCGCGGACGGCGTCGTCGAGGAGGCCGTGGTCGGCGAGCAGGGAGAGGAGGGTGTCGACGACGGACGGTAGGTAGCGCGCTGCGGCGGGGCCCCAGCGCGAGGGGCCGCGCGGTGGAGAAGGTCGACGAGGGAGGCGGCGAGGTGGGGCCGGTGGCCAGCACCAAGCAGGCGGGAGAGGAGGCGGCGGGAGTGCGCGAAGAGGCGGGCGCGGGCTGCGAGGTGGGCGGCGAGGCAGACGTGGGCGGAGGAGGGGAGCGGGTGGGAGAGGAGGTGGTCAGGGGCGACGGCGTGGAGGGAGCGGAGGACGCGTAGGCGGTCGGAAATGGGAGTGGCGGCGGCGGCGGCAGCGGCGGTAGGGGCGGTGGAGAGGGCGGCGGCGATGGAGAGGCGCAGGAGGGTAGGGTTCCGGCGAGTGCAGAGGCGGAGGAGGTGGCGGCGGCGTAGGGGGAGGGATAGCATCGTTTGACCGCCTCCCTCCGGCGGCGGCGAGGGAATCAGGCCATGGAGAGTGTAGGGTTTTGAGTTGAGGGGTTTTGTTTCCCAATTTAAAAAATAAAATCATTTGGTGCGTGTTTTTTGAAAGGAAATTACATTTGGTGTTGTCTGGTCCAAGGAACAGAATGTTACTTCTACCCGCCCATTTTCAATAATGATACATTTAGCAGCATATAGGTGCAGCTTCCTGCTCCACTTCGCCTCATGCTCCACGCCTACCGCCTGTCCATTGATGCATTTTCATGCTTCACTTCGCCTCGTGCTCCACGCTTGTTGCCCGCCCATGGATGCATCTTCATGCTCCGCACCTGCTGCAGCGCCTGCTTTGCTTCCCACACGAACGCGGGGACCGCTGCGCCCGAGGGACCACCTTCGCCTGTGCCCCCTTGCTGCGCCTGCTCATGAAACACTTGCAACATAAAAGCATTTGTTGCAACATACGTTCGAAGCAGATGAAACATTTGCAACATACGCTTTCAACATATGTGTATGGGCACTGCAACATCCAGATAAAACTCTTGCAACATAGGTTTGAAACAGCTGATACATTTGAAAACATACACATGTAACATACGTATATAGCCAGTGCAACATATGCAACGTCCAAATAAAACACTTGTTTAAAACAACGGAAACATTTGAAACATACACTTGCAACATTCGTATATAATCATTGCAACATATGCAACATCCAGATAAAACATATACAACATACATCTGAAACGCATGAAACCTACAGTTGCAACATGCGCTCATCTACTTACTGCCCCCAATGGATGCTCGTTGACGCGGAGCTTGACGCTGGCACGGAGCTCGATGCCACGGCGCGGAGGTCGGACCTCGGTTGTGCATAGCGAGAGTCCAGACAGGAGGCGCGAGGTGCGGCGGAGCATAGTGCAAGACACGAGGCGTGGGCGGTGCGAGGCAAGAGTAGCATACAGCATGAGGCATGAGGCGCGGGTGGGACACGAGGCACGAGGCACGGGTGGGGCGTGCGAGGCAGGCGTGTTCGTCCCATCGGACAAGATGGACACTCGGTAGAAAGCATTTTAATTGTGTTTTTTACAATTAAAGTATTAATTGTGTTAACTTATCTATTTTGAAACCTAGAGTCTTTTTATTTATGCTATTATACTTTAGAGTTTATATGATACTCCCTCCGTCCCAAAATAAAAGTCGTTCTCGCTTTCTGATAAGTCAACTTTTTTAACTTTAACCAATTATATATATATATATATATATATAATATTAATATTTATAATACATAATTAGTATGATTAGATAGATCGTTGAATATACTTCCATAATAAACTTATTAGGGGATATAAATGTTGCATGTATTTTCTACAAACATAGTTAAAGTTGAGAATGTTTGACCTACACACATTCCATAACGACTTTCTTTCTGGTACGGAGGGAGTATAGCATATCATCTTATGGATTGTTTGTCATAGCTCCAACTACAATATCCATACACGATTTAGAGTTTATATGATATAAAAGAAAGTGACTGTAATCCTGATCCTGCATTCAATGGAGCAACAATACCGCGTAGCTCCGCTGCCTGAATAAAGACGCATAATTTAGATTCAAATTTAGGGATTATTTATTATACGTAAGTTTTTTTTATAACATTTATTATACGTAAGTTAGTTTTTCTACTGCAAAAGTGTATATAGAACTATTTTTGGATTCTTTTTATAATGATATATGTTAGGTAATATGATTTAGGTTCATGAATCTTATACTTGTAATAATAATGGAGGTAGTGGAGGTGTGTAATTTAGATTTATAGTCAGGGAGATATTTTATTTTATTTTTCATAATGACATATGTGAGTAGTTTGGATGAAGATTAGGGGTTACTTTTGGTTATTTATTTTATTCAACAATAAAATACTTTCATCATAAAGTATAACTTGTTCTTTTTGAAGATAGTATATACATGTTACTTGCCATCAAGCAAGAAATTACAAGGACACAATATATTCAAAGTCTATGGATAAATTTGAGACCCACATAACTAATTAAATTGCTTGCATTGGTTTCCCCTCTTAAAATTTTGATTAGTTGGGGGGGGGGGGGAGAATTTATCCATGAACTTTTCTAATACTTATGTCTCTTAAAAAATTGGTAGCGATGCATCACCACGGTTGACAGATTAGCAAATGGGTAATTTATATGTATATTTAAGGGTATACTCTATTATTATTTTATTATTATGGTATATATAAGTAAGTAATTTGGAAGCAAGATGTTTACCTTTTCTATGGACATTTCTAGGATTTCTATAATTTTATAGCGTGCCTGGTTAAAACTAGTGCGAAGACAATAGGATTAGTCAAGGCTAATATAATGGGCTTATATTCGAAACTAGAGAAGGCACTCTCCATAACTTCACTGCTGGTACCCCTTTCTGGGTGGAGCCCACCATTTCTTTACATATTCAACCTGTTCGCTGGTTGGTTTCTAGGCTGATAAGCCCGGCTGGTGCTGGTTTGTTGTGAGAGAAAAACATTGTTAACTGGCTGATAAACCCTGACTGAAACCAACAAGCGAATATGCTAATGTCGCAATCTAGGCTTGGACGTTGGAGGCTTTCATTGGTCAAAAAATTTTGGAGTAGGGGTTCATTTGTAAATGTACAAGTACAACGTTTTGGACATGAAAAACGATCTCCTATATGCAAATTTTACCACTACGTGTTATATTTATGAATACGGTAACTAATAAAGCTTATATAAAATAAAAAAAACTGTTAGCAAGGCCGATGCAATGCACCGCTCAAAGAAGTCTTATATATAGCCATATGTCAAGCAATCACGGCACTCACCTTTCACCCAACCAACACAGCACAGGAAAAATGGAGCAGAATGCATTCTTAAAAACCTACCGTCATAACTCACAAGTCGTCATCTGGCTGATGTGCAACTCGAAAATCAGACCTACGCATGAAGGCAACCAGATAGAAACCGTACGAAGTTTTATCAAGTACACAACATTTTCAGTTACAAAGTGTGCAGCCTCAGCCTCACGGGTGCACACACAAGTGAGCCCTTGCAACAGGGTGTGCCCAAACCCCAAAGCATCTCTCACTCGCAATTGACTCACCAAATGGCTCCAGATAAAAGGGCAGGGGAGAACCGATTTGGTAGAGTTCATTTAACCGACCAGAGTACACAACCGAAAACAAGGGCAGAGACGTCTCCCAAATCCCAATGGACATTCAGCACCATCACCGAAAAGTGCCATGCCCGGTTAATTTGTAGGAGTATATATAGACTACCAGTCTGAATGATTTCGCCAACGTCGTAGGCTGGGGCTCCAGCTGAGCTGAGCCACCTGCAAAAGTTGAAAGAGCAAAACATGAATCATGGTAAAGCGATGCAGCTATAACAAAACTTTTACTAGAGCCTGTATGCATTTAGTTCCAGAACTCTGCAGTGGCGAATGGGTGAAAAGACCAGTGTGGTTCCAGGCCAAAGTCCATAATATTCAGGGTCATCAGGGACAAAAGGAGCAGTAAAACAATGTCAAGGAAACAATAGCATGTAATTGACAGACAAGGATCATCCTGGCAAAATGCAATACTAGCAGCGAGAAACACTAGAATTTTGTGTTGTGCCAGGGACCAAGCAAACTTGTAATAACAAAAGAAAACGATAATCCATCAGTAGAAATGGTAGAATATTACCATTATACTGCCATTTTCATCTCTATCTTCTGGTGAGGATCATAGCCAACTAGCTTGAAGTCTGATGCCATGAAAGAATCTATATCCTTCTTTGAAGGATTCATCTTTAAAATCTGCACATAACGCCCATATAGAGCTTAGCAGATACATATGCACAGAATATACACAAAAAGAAACATCAAACCATCTAGTTTGATCAAGCAGATTTCATCTTTTCAATAAAACAGTTCTGTTAGGGATGGCTCACTGGAAATGGTTTAGGCATCTTCTGAATTTGCTCCTCTAGAGCTCGAACATGAGTTCTATAGACATGAGCATCCCCTATGACATGGACAAAATCTCCAGGAGAAAGATCTTGCAACATTAAGATGACTGGTTAGAGTTGCAAAACAGCCTACTCTAGCTTCTATCAGTGATACAAAAGCCATAAAAAAGAAACAAAGGGACAACATACAAGGCGGCATCACAGCCTACTCTAGCTTCTATCAGTTAGATACAAACACCAAAAGAAAGAACAGGAAAACATACAAGATGGCATCACAAATCCTTGCATCATATAAATTATTCAGAACTTGTTACAAAAACATCTAGAATATAGATCCAACAAGTGTGTTGTTGCTACAAGTAAAAGGGAAAATCAAAGTGCATAATAAATGCATCCAAATTAAACTAATCTAAACTAGAATATTGTTATACAGTACAGAAGACAACCAAGAAGCTATGTATTAAGGCGGACAACAAGCTTAGTTGAAATATTACGACTAAGGCATACAAGAACGTACCACAAACTTGAGCAATCATGCATGTGAGAAGAGAATATGATGCAATGTTGAATGGAACACCAAGCCCCATGTCTGCAGAGCGTTGATACATCTGGCAGGATAGCTCCCCATTGTCCACATAAAACTGGATGATGTAGTAAGAGGTTAAATGCAAATGTTGTTAGTTGGCAAAGCTATCACAAATAAATATGCAAGTAATATGCTCTGACTCTTACAAATGTATTTCAAGACACAGTTTATGTTCACTAATCTACTATAATTTAAAAGTAGAACTAATTTTCAACTTACAATGGACTATTACAAGTGTGCACATCATGGACAAGTCAAAACAGAGCCAATAAAAAAAAACTTAAATCAAGCAGACAAATTACACTAACTTGTGCAAACATGTGGCAAGGAGGAAGAGCCATTTTCTTAAGATCTGAAGGATTCCACACCGACAAAATTATTCGGCGATCATCAGGATTGTTCTTGATCTTGTCAATAACATCCATTAGCTGATCAAAACCTTTTCCAGTATAGTTAGCATGCATGTCCGTGTATCTGTCAAATAACTAATTTTTATCAGAAAGATGACAGAGAATGAAAGAGCAGAGAGCAAGAGAAGGAGAGGAGGGAGGGAGTGGAATGTAAGATTACTCAGCACCAAAGTGTCGCCATTGAAATCCATAAACTGGACCTAGATCGCCTTCCTCCCCTGTGTGCCAAGCCAACACTAGAAAAGATGGCCAGGTGGATTAGGCAGCAAAAACCGAAATATAAATTATTTGCAGCCTATATCCAAGATGTACCTGTCAAGATACTCTCTTGAAGCATTGCCATCCCAGATATGAATACCTTTCTCCTGCAAAACCTATGAATTGAAAGGCAAGGTCAGAAAACAAGAACTTTCAAGAAACAAGTGTCCTGCTGCAACAAAATTGAAGAGGTTAGGCTGAATACCCCACAAATGTAGGTCATTTCAGCCTCTTCAATTTTGTTGCATGAAGTCGTCCAATTTTGAGACAAAATTTCTTCCTACTGCAACATCGCATAAATGGTAGTTTAATCAATGAATGGGCTCTCTTCCACGTCTGCTCTTATCATATCAAATTAATACAATAAGAAGCATAGTACATAAAACATGAACAGCTTGTCTTACACTATTAATGGGTTAGGCTGCAGTAATATGATGTAAAAAAAGATAACTGGGGAAGAGAAGGCATTTGGTGACCAAATTAGTATTAAGGCAAGGGTGCAAAAGGAAGAAGAGATGAAAGTACCCAGAATTATTTCCTGCAAAGTTAGAAAAACTAAACAATCTTTGTGTTTGTAATTGAAAGGAAAAACAAATGAAACAAAACTCTATAAATAAAGGTGCAGATATCAATATAGCATTGTATTTGTTTGTACGGTTGTACCTAGACATAAGTTGCACAAAAGGATAAGTACATTTCGTAAAATCCAACAAAGTGTCATAAGCATCATGGCATGTAGGCTGCAGGTATACATTAAGGCATAAATACCTACATTAAATCAAAATATTGGATAAATTTGGCTAAAGATAGCACTAGATCCGCTAAAATGATTTAATCATGTGCACCTTTGAATTCGTTGAGCCACTGATGAACCACAGGAGTTCTTCGACAACACCACGCCAAAATACCCTCTGTTAAAGAGCACATATTATTGCATTAGTCATCAATAGTACCTAAATATGGTAACATAGATACTCAAACTCTTTCTTTGGGACCTTAGACTCCTGATGTTTAACAACTGGTGCTGGCCTTAAGGCTCTCTATCACATGTCGAGGGGAATGTTTACAGGTAGTCAGGTATGATAAAAAGGAGTTATAAAATGATAGAATGATTGAACAGAATGTTGCACTGAATCCACTTATATTGTCATATGTGACTTGTAGATAACAATAAATAACGTGCACAAGAGCTCCATTAACACTACACACTGCAGGATTGAATTTAGAAACTCATAGTCACCCATCTTAATAAGATAAGTAAGGGCTATAGCACTCTCATATCTCATATAAATATTAATAAAACTATAGCAGATGATTCAATAAAAATGACAATTCAGAACCTCAGTTAAAATCTTGAAACATATGTGGGGATCATAAAAGAAGAAAACTAAACCAGCATCAACTTGATCGCCAATAATTATAAATATAAACAATATAAAAAAGGCACAGTCCAAACTTGATAAACATACATTCCAAAAGTAACAAGCACAAAGAATTAAAGAAACACAATTTTATACACAGTTACACACTGATTTGCCTGTGTTTCTTCTCACAAATCATCAAAAACTAAAGAAGTTTTTGCACATTTTTCTATTTGCAAATACTGACTCAGGACTAGATCTGAAAATACAAGAATATATTTGCATACCTTTGTTGTCAGCAATGGGAAATTTTTCCTTAAGTTGAACCGCATCTAATAAGAAAATGAAAAAAAAAATTATTTACTGGTTGATAAAAATGAATATTCAAAGTTAAGGAGAAATACCTGACACCCAAATTTTGACAATGTTCCAGTTCCTGTCCTGTCATTTTTCTGAGCACCATACCTTATAATGTCTTCAACAAGATTGAGATAATGATACTCCTCATGGCAGTCAAATATCATCTTGGGGAGAAAAGAGAAATTCTCTGTTTCAAACTTGTCATTCTTGGTATTAACCTCATTTGATTCCTTGCCATTTGAGTCATGGGTTTCTACCACCGATTTTCTAACACGAACAAAAGTCACAAAAGAATGCCTGATGTCGTTCTCTACCACAGGGAAAGATGAATACCATGGCTGAAACACCGAGAAGTCAACTGGAGGGATGAAAGTGTCACACTCGATGCTCGACTGAATGTCAGTTAGATGGATGGCCTCACATGCAGGTCCATTAAGATTTTCCCTACATAAAATGATAAATACATTGCAGAAGGGTGAATGGAATTGCAACACAATTACCACGACAATAGAGTGCAAGTACAGTCTTTTGTTTCAAAAGATAAGAACTCACCTCAGTACCTGCCCACCTCCTATGACAAAAACTTTCTCAATCGATAAGCAATATGGAGTTGATGCTAGCAGTTCTAAGGCAGACTTCATACTTCCACAGATAACAACATTCTCTGCTGTTGCAAAATCAAAACTACCAGATCGAGTAAGTATGACGTTCAAACGACCGGGCAACGGCCTTGACTTAACTGGAATGCTCTCCCATGTTTTCCTTCCCATTATAACTGCATTCTTCTTGGCAGGGTCAGATGTAGTTAGTGTAAGCTGTTTGAAGAATTTAAGATCGCCAGCAAGTTTCCATGGCAAAACCCCATCCTTCCCGATGCCCATGTCCTGAGTGGCAGCCACAACAACCTGATAGTTCCTCTGAAGACCACTCTCTGAATCACCATTGGCTGGACCTGCAGCCATTGCCATGAGTCTGGACTGACTAAAGTGGTAAGAACTTGTTTTGCTGATCAGGTCCAGAACTTGAGGTTTTCTAAATCGAGAAGTGCATGAATAACCAATGCTGGAAAATCTTACAGCCTGAATTTGAGGGAGCATTATATAAGCTAGCAATTTGATTAAACATCAAAAAACAAATTGCACAGAAATGTAATCAGAATCGAAACGGCGAAGGACCCAAGATTTCTCATTGTTCAATAGTACAAGCAACTCTATGCAGATAAATTAACCTACAAAGGCCCCAGTATTTTCCCAGATTTAATAGAGGCAACTGTATGCATAAGCGTTTTCTAAAGCTTTACTAACTATTTTTAGAAAAACAAAGGTACAGAAGTATCAGCAGAACAAGTATGCAGTAAGTTTGTACCACAGGCCACAGCTTGTTCAACAAACTACAAAGTACAGTCCACAACCACAGTTAAGGCAAGAATATGTATTCTGCTATACAACACAAAAGCATGTCACATGTAAAACGCTAGGATTATATACTTTGTATGCATGTCGAGAAAACCTAGAGATGTAAGCTCCAACTCTGAGCACCTCTGCGACTAACATCTGGACCCTGAACTACAAATAAAAAAATTACCATGGTTCATTGCGGTATCAAAGCAAACAGAAGCATATAAAAAAGAACTGTTTAAAGAAACAGGAGACAGAAGCACAGCACGATTTATGGTTTCCAACGCAAATGCTGAGACTATTATTAACATGTGGTACAATGAGTTCAAATTAGTGCACAAGATTGCAAGCATTGGGGGAAGGAGTCGGATTTCAAAAAGGCCAAGTTACAACCAAATGTATACAATATATTGCATTGCAGTACACGACTCTGGTTATCATAAAAGCACCATATGCATGACGCTTCACCCAACACCTTTACAAATTGACAGTGAAGTATCAATCGCAGAAGCAGAAACTACATTGGCTGGTGTGGACTAATAACAACAAAAACGGTTTGAACTGTTGGTGCAGCTGCTTGAACAATCAGAAGGGCAGGAAGAAAAAAAGGACCCATAGAAACTTGTGGATTTCTAAAATGCAGGAGTATCTACTGCTGTGCGAGGGAACGACCTACACTTGTGACTAGAATCAGATGCGAATACAAGTACCAAAAATAGCTTAGGTTAGCGATTGGGCGCTCGGTTTCGCACAACAGGAAGGGAACAGAAGGGGTGGATGGGGTACCTGGTGGGTGCTCGTCGCCGGCGAATACTTGGGAGACGCTGGCGTAGGGCGGCGGCGGCGGGGCGCCCAGTCGTCGCAGCGAGAATGGGAGAGCGAACGTGAGAGAGAGAGAGAGAGCCCAGTTGGGGCTGTTTGCCTGGGCCTGTAGCAGGCCTGATTCCTACATTGATAACCCAGCCCACTTGGAATGCGAGCCCGTGGGCCGTGTACTGGCCGCTGCTGCGGAAAAGTCCTTGCAAAGCTGTGAAAATACGGTGGAAAGTTCGTCTCGTGTAACTTTTTTCTTGGACAACTGCAAAAATCGCCTAGATTCTCAAACGGTCTGTTGTTACTGGTGGAGTCGCCGATGGAAACGTGCTTGCAACTGCATAACACGCTTTAAACAAAAGCAACATGAGTATGACGGCTCTTTATTACTCATCCGTTCCAAACTAAATGTCTATGCGTTGTGCGGTAAAAACCCATGCTTACGGTGAAGCACTTGAAAAATTATGAAAGCCTGGACTCCGTCTCCACTAGGGAAGAAGTTCAATAGTGAAACGAGAAAAGTGGTTGAAAGAAAACCAATTTAAGCTTGATCTTTTGGTCAATCACGACTTCCTCACCGAAGATACATACAGGTCTTTCTCACTTTATCACTTCTCCTATACTTCAGGTGTCTAAACTTTAAGGATCTCATGCAACACTCCTCTATAACACTAGTATAAGTAAACTGTTACTTTTATGATTTGTTATTTGTCTTTGTATCATAGCATATCAATTTTTTTGTCCTTGTCTGAATTAGATTCTGTCGGATTTGTGGTTTTGTCTAATGGGTTTTCATTCTCAGAATTAAAAATTGTTGATTATGGCTATATAAATTGTGCCGAACTAAAACTGTAATTTTCATATAAAATATATGCAATAACCATCGCTTAAAGAAAGCTAAAATTTAGGCACCTGAATTTTAGCAAGTCTTATACTTTATTGATTGACATGTGATTTCAATAGGCATAGAAGATAATTTTACAACTCTTATATCCTACTCAGCTGAGGTCGCTAGCTGATATGTCAAAACCACTTCACATAAATGTCAAAACCACTCTTATTATCAATAGATAAGGTGCAAACAAATTTCGTGACATGACATTAGAGTTAAGAGAAACGACATGAGGTTTCAACCAAATTGGTCCCGTTCGGCTTACCCCGAAGCCGATTTGTTCGGCTTCTTTTTTCAGTCGGAACAATGTTTTTCTCTCATAACAATTCAGCCAGAACAGTGTTTTTCAGCCAGTTTCAGCCAAGTTTCAGCAAGCCCAACAGGGCCTATATGGGTATACATTGTTCCAACCTCTAAAGACTTTGAAATATGAGGCTCATTTCATCAAAATGGCCCTAATTCATGCATCACAATTAAATGCTATGGCCACTATATAAACATCAAAATGAACTATTCACTAGAGGGTTGTTTCATGATGTAGCTATTCTCTATAAGTTTGAATCAAATTTAAAACAAATCTAGTGTAATATCTTTTTTCTCGAATATGCAAAAAAATTGAAATCTAGTGTAATACTCAATCCATCCCAAATTATAAGACGTTTGACTTTTTTGACACCAAGTTTGACCACTCGTCTTATTCAAAAATTTGTGTAAAATATCACTTCTTTCGTCGTGGTTTGGTTTATTAATAAAAATTCTTCAAGAATGACTTAAATTTGACTATATTTGCATAAATTTTTTGAATAAGACGAGTGGTCAAATTTAGGGTCAAAAAAGTCAAACGTCTTACCATTTAGGATGGAGGGAGTATATTTTTGTGACGGCGGAAATAACAATTTTTTTAAGATTGGCCTTATAAGGATGAAAAGTTGAGACTTGACAGCCGAGTAGATCTTGAGCAAAACCCGGGAGAAACTGCTAAGCAAAGCAAGGCCTCACCGCCATCCCCACTGCCGGTCCTCCACCGCCACCATGTCCATGTGGCGCGCGGCCGCTTCCCGCCTCCTCCTCACCCGCCGCTCGCCATCCCCTCCGTCCGCCACCACTGCAGCTCTCCTCCTCCACGCGCGCCCGTTCTCGCCGCCGCCGTGCCCGGCGCAGGCGGAGCCGGAGCCTGAGGTCACGCCGGCCGAGGCGCGGCGCCTGGTGCGCCTCGTCGGCGTCGAGGCGCTGAAGCGGCGCCTGCGGGACGGCCGGGACGAGGTGGTCGGGTACGGCCAGCTCCTCGACGCCTGCGTCGAGGCCGGCGCCGCGCGCACGCACGCCGAGGCCGAGGCGCTCGCGCGGGCCCTGGACCACGCCGGCGTCGTCCTGCTCTTCCGTGACAAGGCCTACCTCCACCCCGAGAAGGTCGCATTTCTTGAGCATTACATCACTTTGTCACTGCATCGTCATAGGTTCTTCGTCTCCAGTTATTCCGGATTCGTCATAGGGCCTTACCTCGTATCGAATTCGAAACTGCTTGCTGCTCTCGTAACGGTTTATTCCGGATTCCGATTCGGGTGAACCCCTTTTGCTATCTTGTTTCAAATTGGGTCTACATCCTTGCTAATCAGTTAAAATCGGAACTCATTTCATAGAAATCGCTCTTTCGTAAAAACAAAACCCCATCAAATTCCCAGAGTAATGCTCTGTTTCAGTCTTCCAATATTATTGGAGACTGACAAAAATCCTCATTTTTTAAGTTCAGTTACCAGATGGCTGAGGAAAACAGTAACATTGGGAAAATAGTCAAGATGCACACATGGAAATGGAATCCTTAGTAACGTGAGGATGCAGTTAGCTGAAGAGCATCAAGATGTACATGGAATTGGAGCAATGTACAGATTCACATTACTGCTAGATCACATGTTCTTTGATTTGGTACCTTCCGGTCCTCCACAACTACTGTCTGTTCTTCACCTACCCTGATCGGAACAAAGACCATAGTATGCGCCGTGCAAAATGTGGAATCTTGTTAATTTTTTCTTTCCACCTAAGCATCTAAGCATCCACCTGGAATTAAGGTACTACTTTATTCTTTGAAGTGTGGACAGCACATTGACAAAGGCTAAAATATTTATCTGAAAAGGATTGCCTCATCAGGGTGATATTTTTTCTTCCCCATTGCTTTCAGCTGTTGCCTGTAGGAAGGTCTCAATTTCACTGTTATTGACAGAGAAGATAATGAATATCTAGCCAATTTGCTTGCAGTCAAACTTTTTTTTTCTCAGTTACGTGCTAGATGAGCAAAAGGAGTCATGATGTAATCTCTCTGACTGAATCTTACATTGATTCATTATTGACCGTTTTCAGGTGGTGGACCTGGTTAGAAGGGCTGTGCCACTTGCGCTAGCACCAGAGAATGACCCGAGCAAACAAGAGTTTGAGCAGCTCCAGGAAAAGAAGGAAGAGATTGACAAGCTGGCGCACAAGCAAGTGAGGCGCATCCTGTGGTCTGGCTTAGGGTTCTTCATGTGCCAAGTCGGGCTCTTCTTCCGCCTCACATTCTGGGAGTTCTCGTGGGACGTGATGGAGCCGATCGCCTTCTTCACCACCGCATCTGGCCTGCTCGTCGGCTACGCCTATTTCCTCATCACCTCAAGAGATCCGACGTATCAGGACTTCATGGAGAGGCTGTTCTTGTCAAGGCAGAAAAAGCTTTGTGCAGCGCAGAAATTTGATATGGAGAGGTACCTGGAGTTGCAGAAGCACTGTAGGTGTCCCCTGGAAGGCCATCGCCCTCATGGTCCTAAGCTTCATGACTTGTAACACCGCAGGAGCTAAACTTTCTCCTCCGTTACCTGTTGCATTACAGTGCACGCTCTAGGTTGCGGATACTAGGATAGCCACTACTTATTTACACGCCCTTCATCTGAGACTGAGACGTTCGAGACAGAAATGTGGTCCTGACAGACACGGATCATATAGGAGTTACCTTTTGGCTGCATATCAAAAGGCGAACTGAATGTTCGAACCTTGCTAATATAACCTATGTGTGTTTTGACAGATTGCTTTGAGGACCCTGACATGCTGAACCATGCCGGAATATGTTCCATGCATTATGCATAGCCTCAATACTAGATGCCATGTGCCAAACTATGCAAGTATCAAAGAATACAGTTCCTTCTCTCTCTCTTTTCATTTGCTGTGCTTGGTCGCTGGACCGACATCCAAATTAGACAATTATCTGAATTCTCATTCCTTCTGAGATTTGCACTACGAAAAGATCCTATAAAGCTAAAGAATGCCATTGAGCAGAACAATCATTTGTTATGTCGTCAATGGGATACCAACATCTAACAATAACAAATGCAAGCCTTGCTGCAAAGAATCACAAGAAAAAATACTTGCTAATTCAGGCATCATTTGTTGTTCCCTGTACATGCTGTGCTGCAGTTAACATTGGACTCCCTCAGTATTGCTCTTGCATAGTGAGAAAAAAGAATAACACCAAAGATTTTATACTAAAAATGAGCAGCATGGAACTGCACTTTTGCAATGCCCGGCTGCCTATGAAAAAAACTCATCAAACCGTAACGAACAGTGTGAAATAATCTACATTATATCTTGGTATTCTGCAATATAACTCGGGCTTCATGCTGCAGTCCTTCAGACATTGTAGATGCTGTTACGGCAACATTGGCAGTTTTATGCAGAAAGCATTTCATCCTACTCTCCTTTTGGTATTTGATTGAGCACCGCCTCGTCAGGGGTGTATTTGAGTCATCATAGACACTGCAGGCCAGGAGCGATTCTGCTTATTTTCATGATAACCTCATCATTTAAGCAAAGCCCTTGAAGTCTGTGGTTCAAATGCTCAAAAATGAGTGTTGGTGCATTTCATGTCCTATATTAATCAGTGAATATTGCATTCAGTCATGAACTTCTCTCCATTAGTCATGTACTTCCTCCAGTAGCTCTTATAATCATGTATCCCCAAGTCAAGCCAAGGTTTCATCACACCATTATAGTGCAGAGTAGCAGCCTTTTCGATATCGACGTGGCTAATTCCATAATCATGTCCAAGGCCTGATTGAACCCATGAATCTTCCAAAGGATATACCAGATCTTGAAAGGCAAGTAAACTTGCAGGGAGTGCTTGCAGTCGCTGTGATTTCAGGCTGTCCTTTCGCAACTGCAAAAAACGCAAAGTTAATATATGATATGGCAGCTGCCTTCTAGATATAAGAGAATGGCAAAAGGATAGGACTAGAGCTACCACATGTAAACCACAAATTTTCATGAGATAACAATTGATAATTGTTTTTGTTGTTTCTTTCTCCTCTGTACAGTTTCTGGCTTTTGCTTTTTAATAAAATCTCACAGTGGGGGCCTCCCCTGCTGTATTTTTCGCTCAAAAAAAAAACAATTGATAATTTAATGTGAATGCTGAGTTCTACTGACCTTTTGGAACGATTGATCATACAAACTGGTAATGCCCATGTCCCTCCATTTATCCAATTCAATGACATTCAAGCCAGACAACCACACACATGAATTAGCATTGACATTATGGTCTGCCATATAAGGTTTCAACTGGCCCAATCTCACTTCACAGAACTGGACAGCACCGATCACTTTACCATCCATATTGAGGTTCCACAGAGATGACAAGTCTTTCTGGACAATCAAATCATCATCCAGAACAACTACTCTATTCAAGCTAGGAAGAAGGTCGGGCAAGAGGAAATGTGAATGGCCAAAAATAGATATGTACTCGGTTTTCATCTGCCTCTGGGAAGGTTCAGAATGATTACGAATTGTGACACGAAATTCCTCTGCGGGCCATAACTGTTGCATCTCAAGGGAATGTATATCCTTAGAGAGCTTCTGGTTGTCCTCAATGTTAGTTACATGAACAGTTGCCTCCAAGTATGAATTTCTATCAAACCAATGCTTCATCGCATAAAAGTTCTGCGCATCAGTGAACAAATGGAAAACAATGTGGTCCGAGTTCTGAAATGTGTTATTGGGCATAAGTTAGTGATCAAGATGAATTCCACACGATAGTTTAGATTATTTGAAAATAATGGTATACCTGGGAGTTCATAACTACTGAATTGATAGTGGTGGAAGCTGCAAGTACGTTCCTGGAAAATATTACATAGTGATGGAAGGTAGGACTTTCAAGCTCCTGCTCATTTAACTGATCCATATGACTTGATCTGGATTTGAAATATTCTACTGTCAATCTCATGTTCAAGCAATGGTGAGTTTTCGGCATAGTCTGGACCCCAAGATGATATAGAAATGCACTCTGCCTTGTATGGAAATAAGCTTCATCTTCAGTTATATCAAGTAGCTGCCTAAGTTTCCGTTCAACATTCGAGCATCCTACTTCACAAGACTTGGCTCTCTCAATTGTGTGCTCCATCTTCTCCAGCTTCTTTGCAAAACTGAAAAGAGTAACCAGTCATTGCCACCAGAAATATTTTAAGAATAGAATAAAAAAAGACATTGCAGTGCATTATTTTATCAAAATTAGGTCACAAGCATCATAATTGTGTATGCTCATCCTTTATTTCTTGAAGAAATGCAGACACATAACTAAGACAAAAAGCAAAGCCATGTTAATGGATTGCACTAGTCACATATAATTCATTTATATAGTGCAAAAGTTTATATGAAAAATAAACAAACACATATGATTTTAAAGCTAAGGCGAGACTAACAATGGTGGAAGATCGGCATCTGTGATGGTGTCACTCAGCATGCGTTCATGCTCTTGGATGTTTTGCTTCAGTTCACGTGTAAATCTTTCCTGTTGCTTCAATTTTGCAATGCTAGGATAATGAGCTCTTGCTAAAAAAAGCTGATCTTTAAGCCTCTTGACAATGGCATCCTTCATTACTTCCCTATGTTCAGTAGACCAGAGGCAGTAACTCCCATATTCATGTTCACAGGACTTGGTATTCTCCTCATGCACTGTCTCTTGACCATAGTTCTCTTTCCCATTAACAGTCGTATCCTGTCACAGAACAAATTAAGTTTCCTATGGTAGAAAAGTAAAAAGATTCTGAAGGATTCACTAGTAAAAAGAAAATTAACGACCCTGTTCTTAAAGCACAGATCCTCACAAGAGCACATAAGCCATATCCTGTACCAACAGCTCGAAAACCGTACCGTATGTTTAAGGGAACACAATTGTGCATTGCATTGCACCACAATATATATTATTACCTGACCTAACGTACTTACTGCTTAGAAAAAAAAAACCATCTTACATTCTTACTAGCAGATGTGAATGTGCAAAATGTGGCCTATCAACTTTATTTGTGAAATCTCACTGAAAGTTCAACCCACAGAAACAACATACAAGATTACTGATGCCAAACTGATCAACAACACTTCACCCCATAGCACAAAGCTATTTGGCTTAGATCAGTTTCTGAGCTATATTACTACTCCCTTGGAGTTATAATTTAGGGATCAGCCTCCGGTCCCTCCTGTTTCCTCAAAAAAAAAAAAAAAAAAAAAAAAAAAAAAACCTTGGAAACCTCGGTGCTTGGGACCAAGCCTGTTCTCACCAAAGAAGTGGAGACACTAGAAGCCGCAGGAACTATGTTTTCATCACAGAAAAACCAAAATAGCCAACACAAGAATAGTAAGCTAGCAGAAAAAGCAAGGAAAAATCCAGGCAAAAACTCAGTTCAACTCGCACAACAAGATATCAAAGCTAGAAGAATTCTCACCTTCGACTCATGCTTCAAAATCTAATGAGTTTGACCATTTGTGCAGCATTTTGATCGTCCGCTAACCAAACAGACGATCGAGGCCTTGATGGCCCTGATTAGTACGGATGCCCCAAATAGAAGAACGCAGCAACAGCAGCACGCTTGAGAGTGGGGTAGGGAAGAGAAGGCTACGGATAGCTCCTTTTAACTTGTCTTTCTTGTTGTGGGCTCTCCAACTGGTTGCTTTTCAGCCTACTTCTTTGTTGCTGATAGGTGCTCTCGGTCTTTGGTTTCTTGGTAGTTCAGCCTGGGTTGCGTCCTTCCAGAGGTGGTATTTGTTCTAAGTTGTCTTTGGTGCATGTGATCAGCTGTCCGTAGTTCTCAGCAGTTCATCGTAGGTGTGGCTGTCCTCTTTTGTTAGTGGTTTATCGTGGTTGCTTCTCTCTTTTGGTCAGTTTTCTTCCACTGTTTCCAAAGCGGTTAGTTGTTTTTCTTAGTAGTATGGAGTGCTCCACTAGTAGTGGGTCTTTATCGGCATTTTTAGCCGAGTGGTTGTTCGGTTTTCGGGCCCGGTTTCGCCTTAAAAACTGGGTCTATTCTTTTTTCTTCTAATAATAAATGCGGCAATGATTTTGACGCTCTTTCAAAAAAAATAAAGTACTTACTGCTTAGAAAGAAAACCATCTTACATTCTTACTAGCAGATGTGAATGTGCAAAATGTGGCCTATCAACTTTATTTGTAAAATCTTACTGAAAGTTCAACCCAGAGAAACAATGTACAAGATTATTACTGATGCCAAAATGTTCCTATCATCGCATTTGTGTTTACTGTATATATTCATGAAAATTGTTGACTGAAGCTCCAGTGATTAAATGGTCATGTCAACAGAAGCGCAACAAACTGAGCTCACCATTTTGGGCATGGTAAGCCCTTGAGGCTACTCGACTAATATTCAAATATGAAAAATGAAGAGCTGCAGACTACTGAATCGTAAAATCTAGGGAAATAAGAGGTTGCATTTACCTTTGATCTCCAGGACAAGTTCTTCAATTGATACCTTTTGGACGCACAAGGTCCTGAAACATGACTGAATACAGTAAGATGGATATTATCAACGTCTCGCTGTTTGTACTCTCCGAACGCTTACCTTTACTTTTGAAGGTGTCATTATTTAGTCCAATTAAAGAGAAAGCGCCCTTGAGCTTTGCTTTTGATTTGATAGCATGATCCTTGTTAGACTTCGATCTAGTAGATCTCTCAGCCGGAATCCCATTAGATCCAGACACCTTTTGGAAACATCCTGGATACACAGTCAGAAAAGAGAGGAGGTCATCAGTCAAGACTGAAAAGAAAACATCAGACATTTCAGTACAGCAGGCTCCTGATGATGGTTTTAGGTGAGCCAGGAAACAACAATGTGGCAAAGCGATCCATCTAGCTAGCTAGATAGCTGTGCACTAGTTTGCAGATTTGAGCAAAGTTTCATCACCAGCATTGGGCTACACTGAACACAACCAATTGATCTATTTTGATATGAGTAGTAACTACTGAAACAATATAGTCAGTGCAACACTATTGACTCAGAGGATATGTGAGAATAATATTTGGTGTCCACTCTTCAAATTCAGCTATGGATTGACACAAAGGTGGTACAGAAAATAGATAACAAGGCAAACCAAATTGTTTCAAAGAAGAGGAAAATGATAAGAAGGTACAGCAAGAGGGCATCTTGCCAGCAACAGCAGTTTTGTGTACATAGTTTATCAGAGGCATGACATGTCAAGGCATGATGAAAGAAACAATTCTGGGTTGCCACCCACCTACTCCAAGAATAGCAAACTGAGGGATGGGCATGTCAAGGCGTGACGAGAGAAACAATTTCGGGTTGCCACCTCCACCTATTCTAAGAAAGCAACTTGAGAACGGAGACAGAGGTGGTAGGTTGGGCACGACACGCGCGCGCGCGCACGCGAGGCGCATGAACGCACTAAAATCAGCAGAGGTGGCGAGTAGCTTAATTAATTTCTCCCCGAATGCGGGCCGGCAAAAAAAAGAATTCAACTCGATCACTGTCTCTGACATATAAAACACACAAACAAAATGCTCCACCACTGCACTGCCTCTTGAGCAGTGAGCAGTGTAGCAGGCAGGGATTGTAACCTTGAGCAGCTTGTGCTCCATGGCGCCCCCATTCTCCAGATGCCGCTTGCCACGCGCCCCGACGCCGGCCAGCTCCTAGAGCAACCCCAAGCACAACCAAGGCGTCAGGATTTCAGAAGCTGGGAAGACTCTACTAATCCTCTGAGAGGAGGATGTAATTACTCGAAAGAAATTTCCGCACGGGGAGAGTGGCGAAGCTTACGGTGCTGATGACCACGGCGGCGCGGTCGTCCGATCCATATCCTGCTGCAAGCAACAACACGGAGCACGCGACGCGACGCGCACGGTTGGTTAGAGGATCAGCAAGAAAAAGGGAGGGGGAGACGACAGATCCGAGTCTCGGACGGACGCACGCACCGGCAGGGCGGTGGAGGACGAGGAGGTAGACGAGCGGGAGCAGCGTGGAGCAGACGACGAGCGCCGGCACGGCGGCCGCCAGCCCGCTGCAGCGGCGCTTGCTGGGCGGCGGCGGCAGCAGCGGAGAGGACTGCTGGTGCTGGTGCCCCTTCATGCCGTGGTAGTGGTAGTGGGCACTGGGCAGTGGCACCTGCTCTGCTCCGCTCCAGTGCTCCTCAACGGAGCGCTGCCGCCAGCCGGAGCCGGGTGGTCAGTGGTGGGTCTGGTGAGGTGGCAATGCAGTTGCTTCCCGCATTAAAAGCTGCAAGAAACAAGCTAAAGCTTCCTCGGGCCTCGCGCGTTTCTGGAACCAACCAGCCAGCCGCCACGCGCCGCTACACACCAGGCATCAGTGGAGTGGAGACTGGACTGGAGAGTGGGAGACTGGTAGGAACTGGGAACTGGGAAGGGAGACGAGGGTGAGGGAGGGAGAGCGGCCTGAGTGGAGCCCGCCGGCCGACCGTCCCGGGCCCGCCTCTGCCTTTGCAGTTTTGCTTTGGACGCGTTACCCCCCAATCTCTGCCGTCCTTTTCCATCCTTTGTTTCGTACCGACGGGAAAAAAAATACAGGGACAGCTCGTCAAACTCCTCGTTTAAACTCTCTTCTCCTTTTGTTTTGTTTATTTATTGCCCCCTCTTCTCTGTATAATCAATTTTCGGAGTTATCAGAAATTAAATATTTTTAAAGTTAATAAAATTTATAGAAAAAACATTAACATATATAGCATCAAATTAGCACCATTAGATTAGATGTACTATACAATATATGCTTTCATTTGGTGCTATAATATAAAAGAAAAGGGAGAAGCGACTAGTTGTATTGAGTCGTGACTCGTGAGCAGCCAAAGTTTAAGGGTTGGTTGCTCTTCTTCTTTTGGGCGGGAGGTGCTTCGTCTCTCCATCATTGGCTTTCGTTCGGTTCGACGACTAAGAAACGTGGCATTTAGTTTCCTACTTATTATTTCTTATATGTTTGTTCTATATACATATATAGATTGATTCTTGTGGAATTTTTTATATATTCTTTGTCGAATCCATATATTTCAATGTGTCCAAAAGTCTAAAAAAATCCATAAGAGGACACCTTTAAACATCTCCGTCCAACTAGCTACCCTGCTACGTATGGTTTTACTGCGCCTGTTCGATGCTGTGATCTTTTTTTTTGGCAGCATTTGTGGATCTACTTGACCTGTGGATGGTCCTTGTTCACGTGCACATGCCAGTGTAGGTGTAGCCGTCTCTCTCCGAGTTTCACGGTTTCAGCCATCACATCACACCCATGCACGCATACGCATTTCCCCATCTACCAACCGTCGACGACCGTGGTCCGTGGGTTCCTTTCTCTACTGCACCTACTCACAGCACGGGCGTCCCCAGCAGCGCCTACAAATCGTTGGCTGACGTGAAGCCTAAAAACAATTTAAAAATAACAAGTCAAAACGTACAATTTTTTAGAAACGTACGAGCTGAGCTCTTGCACGCTCGCTAGCGCGGTAAGTTTTCTCAGTCTCTCTTTCTGACTGGGCAGGTGCTCCTCCCAACTAGCGAGATGGACATCCACTGGGGACGTCCTTACACGCATCTCTATATCTCACCCAACAAGTACAAACGTTGTATTGGACGTATCTTTAAGTGAGGGCAAAGTTCATTTTCCCGCGTTAAAATTGTACGCCAACATGATTTCCACCTCTCAACTACCGAAAATACTGTGTAACAGACATACCCTAACTATCCAA